GCTTACTGATTTTGGAAGAGATTTATGATTTCCTGGATTAATTAATCTCTCTGCAAAATGGAAATAGGTTCATAATTTATTTCTGATGAAACTCAATATATAATCATTGGAAAAATTCAGATCACACAGGAAACTAGAGATAAAAACAATCTGGTTACATATGCCACTGCTGTTATGATTTGGTGAATGTGTGACTGCTTTGCCCCATCTATCCTCTGCCTTTCCCCTTTCTTTGTGCCTAGAACACAGGCCCGAGACCATGGGGTGCCCAGGCATCTATACCCTGAGGTAATAAGGATGCGGACAACAGCCTGCTGAGAAATGATGGTGGAGTGAAAAGAGAAACAACGTAGGTCTTAAATGACACTGTTGAGACATTGTCAGTCCTGAACAGCCTATCCCCAGAGTCCTTGTTGACAAGTCATATAAACCCCCAATTTATTTAAGCAACTGTGAGCTGGAGCTTTTGCTATTTGCAGATGAAGTCATTCCTAAATGATACTTAATCTCACGTTAATATTTCCCCCCCCTCAAAAAAGTTAATTGTTCCCAAGCAATTTATTGGGAATTTTAATCCCCCTTTAATTTTAAATAGGTATTTATCATGTACTAATTCCTGATTTTACTCCGCTTCCAACTGTAAATACATATGCATCATGTACCAATCCCCTGATACTCCTGTCCCTGTCCGGGCACATCATTCTTTTCTCACCTGTCCTTTATTCCTGTGGCACTACCACACTGTTTCAATTGTTGACACTGACCCTTCTTCTCTCTTCCCGTTCCTACCCCTTGCTTTAATTGATTTCCATTTGCCTTAGTGCCAAATTACTACTTTTACTTTACACTGCCTTTCTTTCAAGAATTGTAACTCTGGAGTCTATTTTGTAACCACAGTTACTACAGTTGTTTGGTTTGCATTTTACGCTTGACTCTTCCCATCTGTCTTCCCCTATGACTTACCCATTTATGTGTTATTTTGGATGATATTTTTTGTGGGGGGAGATGGTTCAGCAGTATAAATTTTTTTAAGTAGATTTTTCAGGAAGGGTAGTGGGGTGGTAAGGTCATGTGGGGCCCAAAGTTGATCTGGACTCTTTGTCTTGCTGTGCTTCTTGCTGTGACCTTGGGTAGAAACCTGTCCTGCATTGCACCCGACTCCTAGGACACCCCTCCTAGCACATGTTCCCCAGGCCTACCCACTCCTGTCAGGTACACTTAGGAACTCTACACATTTTACTCTAAACTGCAGCATTTAATTTTTTTGTCTTTTCATTATATCTATTTAAAATATATCCCTTACTTAAAAAGGATACTTTTTTATTGATTGGAATAAAGTTTAGTTTCAAATACAGTTATTTTAAATTAAAAAGATGGCAACTTAATTTTAAAATTAAGTTAAAAATATGATTGATGGCATATAGCTATGGCAAAAATCATAAGGGTACAGCATGCATTAAAATTAATAAAACTTGTAAATACTAATCTGTGAAAATATTAAGGTCACTGGAATCTTACTGACCCTGGCTGAATGTTGATTCTGCCTTTATTATCAGTATGACCTTGGGGAAATTACTTAACATCTCTAAAACCAGTTACTGTAAAGAATATACTCCCCAAAGTTATTTTAGGCAATAATTGAAATGATGTACATTAAAAAACACATTATTCCTGGAAGGTAGTGAAAATGGAAAAAAAAAGCATTGTTTCCTTCCCCCTTTTTATTGTTTTATTTTTGACTTGGAATAAAATCAAAATCTTTTCTGTCTCTCCCTCTGTGTGTGTGTGTGTGTGTACACATTATATCCTACTTTTTCAGCTTTCTGTTACCTTTTTAAAGATGAGCTATTTTTCTACTATTTTTGAGACAACTAAGCCCCCCCCCAAAATTCCACAACTTGTCCAATTCACATAGCTTTAAACAGCAGGGTTAGATGTTACCTCCAATAGACCACAGGCCAGCAAAGTTTGCTTTCAGGAAATGTTACCGAACATTAATACATATTTTCAAAAATGTGAAGAGACAGAACATATCAAATATGCACCAGGTATCCCGCCCATTTATCAGGTTCCAGTTGATAAGCATTCTTATCAGGCTTCCAAAGTCCTGAACTTCCACTTCATCCCAGGCTACCCTAGAGATTCTGATTTTCCATATTCAGAGCCCTTCTAGAGACAGGCATGGCTTAGGAGGGAAGCTTCTGAGGCAGAGCATGGCTGACAGTGCCGTCCAGTTTGCACTCACAGCACTTACTCATGTTTCTAATAATGGCCTTGTTTTCCCAGGAACCAAGATTGAAAACTTTGGACTTCTAATTTCCTGCTTTCTCTCCCTCTAATCTGTTAGAAGCCCCATAATTGATCACTTTTTGGTAATCTTGAACTTTTTTCCCACTGCTATGGCCCTATTTCTGACTTTACCAGTCTTCTCTATTATATTCCTAATTTCTTCATCTACATATCTCTTGATTCTCTCTGTACCTATTGTATGAATTTTCCTGGGACGTATGTCTCTCTTCTGTGTAAAAGCCTTGTTCCGTATATTTTCTTTCTGTCCCTCCAGACCCATTCCTTTCCTTTCTCGGTCCTGCTCTGTGCCCTGGGGGGAAGGCCTACATGAACTGTATCAATGGACTTCCTTCCCTTCTGGCTTCCAATTAGGTTTAGCCAGTAGGAGGCACGAGCAGGAGACTCAAGGGAACAAACAGAGTGGTTGAGTATTTACTCCCTCGGCTCTCCAGCAGAAGGTTACCTGTCCTCCTCCACAGAAGGAGTTGCCTCAAGTCAGGGACACATTCTTACAGTTATAGCTTCTCTATGCAAGTTCCAATTATGTCTCTTTCCACTTCCCCTTTCAGGACTGGTGGTGGTAACCTTTTCCACTGTGGCTGGCGGGATGGGGTCCACCATCCCTTGTTGGTATCCCTTACTCCGGCCACACCCTTTGAAAATAGTCTCTCTATCAAACTCCACCCACTGATCCCCTTTGAATGTGCTATTTGCTTCAGACCCTGACTGTTAGAAACCTTAAATGCCTTTCCATTGCCTACTAAAATAAGTATAGACCCCTCCAGCCTCAAGCTGAACATAAACTTTCAGGCTACGCTTGGACTTTATTCCTACATTGACCTCTTGCTTCAGTAAACTTAGTCAGTCAGCGTTCCCTGAATAGACCTAAAAAACAACATTGTGTTTTCTTTGCTTGGGAGACCCTTCTTCTCTAATCTCATCCTTCAAGACTTGCCACTTTCTCCCCACAGTTTATCTCAGATGTTACCTCTTCCATGACACCTCGGCTGAGCTCCTTGGTTCACCCTTGTGTCCTCCTGTCTTTGATGCTTATATTTTCCTTTGTCATAACTTTTAATGTACTTGTTGTCCTTTCTATTTTATAAGCTCTTCAGAGCCAGTGGCTGATTGTTATAGCTCTGTATTTTCTGCATGATCAGTATTCAATAAAAATTTAGTGGATCTCAATAAACTACACTGGCAATTTAAATTCAGATTATTTTAAGGTGAGGCTAGTGGTTAAAATCAGACAGAACATTTTAAAATTCAGTTATATTATAGTAACAGGGGAAAACAATTTTATTTGACATGGAGGTAGAGAATAAAGAAAAGTCAGGAATAACTGCTTTATCATTCACTTAAAAAATACATTTACTGAATGTCTACTGGGTATCAGGTACTTACCTAAGCACTACAAAATGCCTCTATTGATGTCCAGTAACATGGTATTAATAATTTTTAAAAATTAGTAGAATAATTAAAAAAAATGAGAGTTTATGATCAGTTACTCAATTGGTAATTCTATAATTAAATTTTTGAGGGCAATTTTCTCACTATACATAGTGGGACACCAATTGTTGTATAACTGAAGATTTTCCCATGTTCCCAGAAATGTATCATAATTTATAAGAGGGCTGTCTAGATTTAGTTTTGTTTTTCTGGGAATTAGCAGAGACAGAGAAGATAGCTGTTAGTTAAAAAATGCCACAGGGAATATGGATGATGGAGTTTTAAATTATTATCATTCTTACATTATAAATTGTGGATTCTTTTGTTTATCTTTTGATAAACAAAAACTTATTCTTGGGAGAGTAAGGATCTTTTCCAGTGAATAAGAGGAGAAAAATGGTAAATTGAGACTATCTATTTCGAGAATTTCTCTTCTGTTGTGCCATCCTCCAAGAGTGTTTATTTTTGATGTTTTCACTCTGTGATGTTGCCTTGCCTCTTTTTTTTTTTTTTTTTAAAGATTGTGCTCTTAAAGAAAGAAGAGGGTAGACCAAACAGAATTGTTGCAGGATAAGCATTCTTATTTGGTCACAAAAATCTCAAAATGATGAAATCAGTATTAATTGAATATTTATAAAAGCACACAATTATATTTTTCAGGTTCTTATGCTCAGGGACTTTAATCAGTTAAATTTCAAGTGTGGGGAATATAGATGGCAGAATAGCACAAGGATTCAGGAGCAGCATAAATGTGAATTTTGTTGCTCACTCTCATTTCAAGTTTGCAAACTTCTGGGTTCTTGGGTCCTGAATTGCTGTTTCAGGCTTGATTTGAGTCCTCCCAAATGTATATATTTCAGCACCACTTTTTGACTGATTGATATAAAAATTAATGATCTGCTTCAGAAAAAGTTAATTTCATGAACTTCTGTGGCTGATTATCTCTAATCTAATAGTTTTATGGAATGATAAATTTTATAATTTTTTTCTGATTATACAAAGTGGAAATAACAAAAATCATTGGATATTTCAGATGAATTCCTGTCTTTAAGATTCTTCATGTTTTTACCAGAACTTTGCAAATTCAGACACAAGAGACATTGCTGTGCACTTGGAGAGATCTAGGTCCCAAAGCTGAGGTTGTATTTCCACTCCCCAAAACCAGACCAAACAACGAAACAGAAAATCAGTTGGAGAAGCTTCTTTAAACATTTTTCCTTTGAAAATAATGATATAAATTTAGTATTTGTTTCTTTTATTCCTTTTACCTCCCTGAAGGATGTCGCTGAGAGGTCCGTGTTGACTCTGATTCACCTGAGTCTTTGGGAGTGAGGTGAATGGTTAACTCTGGTGGACAAAGAAGAAATGGTTTACATAAGCTTCAAACATTGGGTGCCACAAACATTTGGCTTTAAATCTTGCAACTGCTTCTTCCTTTCAGTTAAGTAATGGTACCAATGTTTGCTTCTGCGGGAATCTTTTGATGAGAGTTCTTCTGTGCTTGTGTTAGAAGTTTTGTGTTCGCTTAACTTCAGATGTAATTCCCAAATAAGGTTTAATATGCGACGTATTTGATAAATAGAATAAAGCAGTAGAACTTTCTACCTTAATTGAATTAAAATAGTTCAGTTATATTTTAAACACTTCATTCTTTAACAAAATTGGACCATCTGATTTTTCACTATCACTGTTCAAATATCAAATTCACATTATGAGATGTGACTGAGTTGCATAAGAAAAGAGAGCTTTAATTTTTATTATATAGTGAGTTTTCTTTTCTTTAGGATTTACAAGATAGTTACTTTTTTCCCTCATAACTTCCTTAAAATTTTTTTTAACTTCAGACAAAATAAAGCATATTTAGTATAAACATTAAATTTATGATGTAGCACTCTGCACAGAATATTGAAATGCTATTGTAGATTAAGAATCTGAAGTTCTTAATATCAGATTAGGGTTATTTGATTTCTTGGGGTGCTTTCAAATCAGATATCCACTGCCGCTGTTGGTAGTGGGAAGGTTCTGGAAGCCTACCCACAGGGTGGTATAATTTGACAATGAATCCAAATACCATGTGAGGAAACTGACAATATTGGAGGAGAGGACAAAAACAAAGAGCAGTAGTTTTTGGTCTTTGTACAAGAATTGTGTCTTCAGTATAACACTGGACCCCATCACCCCTACTAGATGAAATCCAGTAGACTCCCAACAAGAATGTTATTTGGCGATCAGATTTGTATCTTCAACTCCAGCTTTATGTCATGGATTTCCCAGTCCCTCATACCTCACAGTGAGAGTAATCTTTTTAGATGTATTCAGCCACTTTTGGAAGTTGAAATAATGAGCCCTGATACTAGAATTTCTATTGCTTCTAGAGAAAAATATAGAATTAATTTAATTCCAAGAGCCAAATTCTGCCTTTAACAGTCCCTAGGGGTCCCAGATTAAAAAGGAAAGTTCTTACAAATTCCAACACATTTAACCTGCCTCATAGATTTTTCTCAGTGGTTTTACCCCCGCCCAGTGGTTTGTTTTAATATCCTGCTAAAATGTTTAGAAACCAAAATAAAACAAAGCCATGGGGAGATGGAAAAGACTTCCCGAGCCTCTCCAAGGAGCAATGGAGAAATATTTAACAATTTTAAAACATTTTGAAATCTTCATAATAGCTCAGTGATGTATTGACTCACTCACAGTGACTTTCCATTGCAGTAAATCTTGTGGGATAAAGTGAGAAAACTATAAAATGCATTTTAAGGCCTACTATGGTGTCCACTTAGTGATATGCAAAGCGCAAAAGCCAATCTGAGAAGGAATTATGAATTCAATTAAAATATACATTTTGTTCCAGGCAGTGTGGTATATGTTTCAGGGGACACAGCTAATGAAATGTTTTTCTTCTTCTCAGAGACCTCATAGTCCACTGGTGATGATGGAAGTGGGAGCTGGGTGGTGGCAATGATGGAAGTGAGTCGATATCTATTTATCAGGAGACAGGTAAGGTGAGTACTCCATAATTAAAATAAATCCAGTATGTGATGAGCAACGTTCATAATTTGCTTTATTCATTAACTCATATTAACTGAATATTTATCACAAGTACTATTAGATAGAGGGGCTGTTACTCTAACAACTTTCTCCTGAAGGGTTCTAGTGGAGAGGAAAGAAACAAGATCACATCCTGACCTTACAGTGTGATGACATACAGATGATAAACTGCAGAAGCACGGGTTTGAACACATGTGAAGGGAAGGACTAGGAGTAACAGGAAGCAAGGCTGGAATCACTGCTAGGGGTCAGAACATGGACAGTCTTTCGGACCTAAATCCAGTAGTGGGATGATACTGTGCAGCATTTCCACATCTGTCCCTCTTCTGCCCAAACCACGCCTTTTACGCCGTGATTCCTCCTACGTGCTACTAGTCTTGGGGCCTTTGAGAACTCCATTGCCCCCTGAAAACAGAGGACACAGGTGTACATGAACACATGTATAAGATTACTACTGTTTTTTTACATGGAAGAAATTCGATGATGTTCCTTCAGATTTCTTAAACCTGCTAAAAATCCAACTTAAGAAAGAAATACTCATGTACCCGGTGATGCAGAATCTTCAAGTTTTGGTATCTTTACAAGAATGATATAAGACCATCTTTTATACCCCTTCAGGCTACACTGAACTTTATGCAGGAAAAGGAAGACTCAAGGCACTGAAATAACTTCAGGTGAAATGTGCTCATTTGGAAGTCAAGGTCTATTGTAAGGAATTATGCGTGGAAATGAAGAATGCAGCGTTCAACCAATCTTCCTTTGGCAAGGGAAGGAGTTTTCTGTGGTAATGCTGACCTTCCAGAAGCAGAAGTAGAATGGTACAGGAAAGATGATGAAGAGCATAAATTGGCTGGAGTGCTGGCTATGATCTGAAGGTTTGTGTCTTCCTGAAATTTATATGTTGGAATCTTAACCCCAAGTTGATGGTATTAAGAGGGAGGGCCTTCAGAAGGTGATTAGGTATGATGAGGAGCCCTCATGAAAGGGATTAATGTGGTTCTTAAAAGAGATGGCAGAGGGCTAGCTCACTCACTCACCATGCGAGGACACAGCGAGAAGAAGGCGGTCTGCAACCTGCAAGAGGGCGTTCACCGGAATCCGACCGCGCTGGTACCCCGATCTTGGACTTCCCAGCCTCTAGAGCTGTAAGAAATAAATGCCTGTTGTTTATAACCTACCTAGTTTGTGTTTTTTTTCTTAAAGCAGCCCAAATGGACAAAAAAGTCCTGAAAAATAAAGGAGAGCAGAAGAAAAAGCAGTAACAGCAAGAAAGCCAGATTTCAAATTCCAGAGTTCTGGTTCCCTGTGTTAGAAATGTTCCCATGCTCTTGATAGGTAAGTGAATTAGTACAGGAATATGATGAACGAATCTTGAAAAACATGTAGGATATTAAATTTTTCACATCCTGACAGTCTGTGTCATTTGCTTTAAGTTTCCATGTTGCACCCAAAGACTACTTTGCCAATAAAGTTCTGAAAAAAACTTACAAAATAAAATCAGAGCCAGAAAATGCAGGCCATTTTTGCTTTGAAGGCCTAGAAATAGTTGACAATGATGAATATAGTACTGGTTGGAAAAAAGGAAGAATATTACAGTTAAAACAGTCAAGGAAAACAAAAACATAGGGTCCAGGCACTGTTAGAACAATTTACCTGAAAGGAAGTATGGAGAGATTATTATTATTATTTTTTAAAAATGAACTTCTTCAGTTTACTGATAGCATCCAGAAATCAAGAGTCACTGGATGAAGGTTCAGAATTCACATTAGCATCAGATTTTGAAACTTGGCACTTGTGATAAATACGGTTTCACATACTGTGCATTACTTACTGAATAAGCCATAGAGGTGATGATAATTTTGAAAAAGGTGAGGAAGGGGGAAGAATAGGTATCAGAAAAGTGAAAGGAGGAAAAAGTTGGCCAATGCTGAAGTTGACCTCAATTGTAATTTTTTTGTCTGTGTATCTTTCATATGTTTTTAGAAGAAAAGACTGCTGAATGTGTGCAAGTACTCTGGAAGTAGCTAATATAAACACCAGTTTACAGATAACTGGAATCTCAGAAAGGTTTAATAACTTGCCTGAGATCACACAGAGCATAAATGTACTATCTTGGATTTTAAAAAAGTTCTCGTAAGATTCTAAACATTTTAATCCTTCCATTGCACTAATTCCTTCTCAGATTTGATCTTTTACATGGACTGCTTTATTTTATTAGCACAAATTAAGAATGATATTAAGTACAAGTTATAACTTTGTTGACCAGTTAATGTTAGAAAGACTATCTAACCATTGAGTCCACTAAAACTGAAATAATCGCATTTGACCAACATTTTCCAGTATGGTGCTACTTAATTTAACAAATATTTATTGAATATCTACCATGTATAAAACACTGTGCTAGGATCTGAAGATATGGTGACAAAGATTCTTTCCTTGACTGAATTCTGAGCAGGCTCTTCTGAGCTCTTTTTCAACTAGATCTTGACTTTGTATTCTTTTTTTAATTTATATTTTATTTTTATTTAGGTTTGTTTGTTTGTTTATTTATTTATTTACTTAATTTATTTATTTATATGAGAGTACTGGGGCTTGAATCTCAGACCTTGTGCATGCTAAGCACACACTCTACCACTGAGCTCTACCCTCCCACTTTGGCCTTGACTTTGGACTTCTGTGTTGGTCTCTGTATTTTCACATTTTAGCAAAAACATTGCGAAATCAGTTTAACTGGAATGCACTATCATTAATACTTGATCTTCCTCAATATCCAGTTGGATCCTTCATCTTCCATAATCCCCCAGGTGATGTCTGATCACTCTGGCCTGCCTTTAGCAAGAATCTTGTCAGATCGGTTTAGCTGGAATCCCCTTATCCCTGATATTTCTTCTCGGTAATTTTCGACTTACTGACTCCCCTTACCCCCATGCACCTCATTCCTTTGCCATAAATTACCACTTTTCCTTGTTGCGTTCAGAGTTGAGTCCCATCCCTCTCCTTCCCTACAAAACTCTATTGCTGGGGTCCCTAGCCTTCTCATGATAGTTCTGAATAAATTCTGCCTTACTGTTCTTTAACAAGTGTCGTAAATAATTTTTCTTTAAAAATGCCAGGATATAAGACAAATTTTCCTGGTTCTAACAGAGATTACTATCCAGAAACAAACTTTAAATAATTGAAAAATGAAAGGAATGGGAAAGAAGTCAGGTTGCTGTAAAGGTCCTGTAAATGGCTCCTATCCAATCAGTCAAAATTTAGGGGGTGGGGAGGGAGGTGTAGTTTACAGAGTTGAGACGCCACCTTGGATGGAGAGAGATAGAGTTTGGGCATGCAATTTGCTGAAGGCTATATCAAAATCACCTATTCCATCTAAAAGTTCTTAGCTGTTTTAATTAAAGAGTCAAAGCTCTTTCAATAAAAGGTAATGTTGGAAAGGGTAGTTTTTAAAATGGTTTATCAGTTCCATTTCTGTATAAAACACACGGGAGAAACCTATCCAATCAACATATAATTTGCCACATGAAAAGGTACTTTTATTAGACGTCAAGTCCAAGAACGTACAAAAGTTTCTTTTGCCATGCCTACAGTAATAGTCTACGCGTTTCCGCTTAGCTCCTAAAAAAAAGGCCACCTATCCCCATTCTTTTCCTTCTGTCCCAGTTACATTACAGTCACGGGTAGGAAGGAGGCTGGTGAAGACAACCCCCTAAGCAGTTTTCTACTGTCCCTTCTTCCCAATCAGAGATTCCTGGGTGTGAGAGGTCGCACCACTCCCTCGCTGGATGAGAGAAGCGGCCCTTCACCGCCGCGGCCCAAGCGGCAAGTGGCGCCGAGTGACCTGCCGCCGACCTTGCAGAAGCTGCGGGGCGGGCGCGTTACCTGCCAGCTCCAGCGCCGTCCAGGGCTCCGGTGCGAGGCCTCACGTCTATGGATGCGCCCACGGAAAACCCGAGCTCAGCTCTGTCTGTGAGCCAGACACTGCCTTAGCCTTGGTCTTCCTACTGCCCTTCCCAGCGGCGCCTCCAGCCGGCGCCCCGGCC